AAAGAGTGAGGATTGATGAAGGGAAGGCCCCCTGGGTATAAAGCTTTGAACATAGATTCCACACCAGATGCTCCCCCAAGCGCAGCAGTTCTCCAGTCAGTGAAGTGTATCTGATGGGCTGCGTAATAAGGACCCCGATAGCGATGGTTTGTAGCACTAGGGAGTCAAGCCAGGCTTCGAATGCTTCCCCATTCCAAGGTAAACTCACCTCTGGCCAGGTAAGTGAGCGTCTTGTAACCTTGGAGAACGTTTTGTAGATCACAACAGGTGAAGACATGATCCATCTCTTTCTCCTTCTCTTTCTGCCCCGCTCACAATCTCAATCCACAGTGTCACTTTTGACTAGAACCACTTCTGCAGTGGTTCTGCCTACCACTGGCAGCAGAGAAGGCGACAAGGCAGAGCTGCATTACTTGCAGACTCGGGAGTGACATAACATAATTCGTTGCCACTGTAGAAATCCTAGGTCAAACATCAATATGCCCTTCTACACGTTTTTCCAAAACCTTGTCTAACTATTTTATATATGCTGTTATTTTTGAATTTTGAATATTACCCAAGTTCTGCAATCCTCCTGTACTAGCTGTCCATGCTCCTGAATGGTTTCTCTTGGGGAATATATGCTGTAGCGTGACAATGTGAGCCAGCTTCTCTACTTTCTTTTGACAATAAATAATTGATCACTGATGCTTTCAGTACAACTCTATTCTTCCCCTAAGTTGGCTGCACCAGTCATACCATTTTGGCAATGAACAAACTCCCTTGTGAGCATTACTCACATTACGCCCATGGTGCATTGTTTCTTCTTTTCTTTTCCCCAGAACAAAAAGAAGATATGTGAAAGAGCCCCTGAAGATCTCTGGACCCTCTTTTCACCCACCAAACCAAGCAGAGGTTGCTGTCTCGAAGTCTAGATCTTTGCCCTTAGATCTGATGCTCCAAAGATTACTCTTCACTGAAGTAACTGAGAGGCAGACTTGCAGGTCATCTGCCTGCTATCCATTAGTGTTTTCCTGTAACAATTGCCTAATGTTCTTACAGAATTTCACCAAAAAAAACCCCCAAAAAACCTCCCTGATAAACACATTCACAGTCATTTTTTACCCAAATCTTGTTACAAAGGGGAAACCAAACAACTCGCTTGCTATTGCTGGATAGTATGTGTTGACACCCACAGAAGACTTACATAATTCTGATTTCAGATACTCAGTACCTTTAGCAAATCAGTAAGTGTGTTTCTTCTAAGCAAGCTCAACCAGAAAAATTCCACACATTTCAGGTGAATGCCACTTAACTGGATATCACAAAAAGGACATGACCCATGGCTCTTTAACACTGCATAGTAAATCATTGCTTGAAGCTGGCACTTCACTCTAGAAC